ATACATTTGATATTACCTTTTCTTTTTATAATAATTTTTATTAAATTAATTTAAAATATATTATTTTAAACCTTTATAAGAATAATGAGTATTTTTAAAAAATTATATCAAAAATAGAGTTTTAGTCCCTATTTAATGATACACATGTTTCTATATCCTACACCTATGATTACAATAGTTTGATAATAATAGATTTATTTTATTAAAATAATTATGGTTTATTCTTTAAAGAGATTATTTTTTAAAAAATATATAATTATTAGGTTTAATATTACTAATTATTTGTATATAATTGAAGTTAATATTTTTAACAATAATATAATATTTAAAATTTTAAAAGTCATGTTTTCTTTCAAAGATAATATGTAATGATAAAGATTGTATTAATTTTTTTTTTATTCATTTATACAAGGAAATTTTAAATTTTAAATCTTAAGACTCTATAAAGATTTACTTCAATGTTTTAAAGATATAAAAAATAGACTTAACTTAAAAAAAATATAAGACTTTTGATTTCTTTTAATTGACTCATTAAATTCTTTTTATGAAACTCTTGATAAGTAGTGTCTTCTTAATATTATATACATCATATATTCTTGGATTTCTTATTGATTTATTTTTTAAATTTATTGTAATATTAATTAATTTTATATAAAAATTTAGATATATTTGTATACCAATTAGAAATTAAAGATGACATATTACTAGATTTGATTGATATATAAAATCAAATAAACTTAATAATCAATAGTCTAGTATCATTTATAATATTTTTTGGTTAATTTTTTAAACTTTAAACTTTTTTAATAAAAAAATAACAAATCCCCTACAAAAGACCATATTTTGTTTTTACTTAAATCAACATCCCTTATGATAATTTTTATAATTTTTTATAATTCAAATTTCTTGTAGATGGAATTTAAATTTTTTTGGTTGAAAAGATTTTAATTATAGAATATTTTTAAAACTAAATTTTAATTTATTTTTTATTTTAAAATAAATTTATAGCATAAAATAACATTAAAATTTTAGAAAATAAAATTATAAATTATAAAATAATATAATATGAAAGAATTATAAATATTAAAAAATTATTATTTTTAGATTTAGAATTAGAATTAGAATATTAACTTTATAAGTTATTTTTTAGGATCAAGATTAAGTTGGTAAGTGACCAATCTAATGTTTTCTAAATAAATATAATATAATAGATATTTTAAGAGAAATACAAAGAATATGTCTTAGAAGAAATGTATAATTTTTAAAAGAGACTTCAAAGGCCTTTTACTAATGTGACCCAAATAAAAATAGACTTGCCATTTTGTTCTTTTAAGAAGCTATAATAATTTTTTATAATACATAATAGCATAAAAATATTTCCATGGATAAAGAAGATCATATATATATAGAGAGAGAGAGAACCCTTAATAGCAAGTCTCATTATATATATTTAATTTTTTTTTTAACAAAAATAGATTTTTGATAAATTAAACTATACAATGACTAGTCTGTTCTAATTAGGCTAATAGCAAGACAATAATCCTAAACTATTATATTAAAAAAAATTAATTAATTAATTTTTTAACATACAAATGTATCTTTTAATTTCAAATATCTAATGTAATATTAAAACAACATAGAAATCCAAGTTAAACGATAATGAGTTTAAATCCATTAAAATTCATACAAAGATAATTCATCAAAGGTTTCATAATTTTACTATAATAGCCGTAGAAATATTATAAAAAAGATTTTAAGAATGCTATTAGACACATGATGTGGTTACCAATAAAAATAAATAAGGAAGAATTAATTACAAGGACAATTCTAGCAAATACAAAACCAAACAAGATACAACCAAACGTTTGATATGATTAAAATAAATAAATAAATACCAACACTAAATTATAGGCCTAGAATAAGTTTTGCACATAGTTATTATAAAAAATATCTAAGGCTTTTGTTCATCACCATAAGCAATGTATCAAAATAAATAAATAAATAAATAAACCTGAGCAATATTGTAACTTAAACATGATACTTGTTGAGACTATGGAGGTTATATTTTAAGCTCTATGAGAATTATTATTAGGTACATCCTTGAGATCTACTATCAAATATTTATCACCAATATTAATTTTAATTAATTACAATAATTTTTGTTCCATAAACCAAGCTACTAAAGCCTTAAGCACAACTCTTAGCTTGTTTTGAGATGGAATTAAGAAGTCAGAACTGCAATCAATCCACATTGTCTAGCAAGTTGTGATTATAAGAACAAATACAAATTAGATTTAATTGATATACTATCTCAAATTATGAGTGGAAATTTTATGATGAGAAATAATGAGATACAGATGGTTTTTAAAAATATATATATATGAGACTTATAATTGAGACTCATAATAGGTTTATGGAACACAAATTAACGCACATGAAACCTGGCCAAAAAGGTGACTATCCAAATTTGCAAATATCCTAGCACCGTTATCCAAAATTGCAGCACAGATCCACGGCTTCAGTTTCTCGGAGCCAGCTTCACAAGCAGACAGGCACTAGATTCTTCCAGATTCCTTCAACGAATCATTGACCAAATCGTGAACCTGAGCTCCACGAGCAGACCCGCAGGAAGCCGAATCCATGCAGGCACAACTTTCACCGCCCGACACAAATCAATGGTGTGCTTCACAACACGCCGCAGGGGGGGGCATTATCATGGCGATTGAAGGCTGTAGGGTGTTGTTGCTTCGGGAGGTCTCGAAGTGCCGAGCATGCAGCAGCAACAGACTTGGAGCATGAGATCGTGTGCGCAGTGTCGGCGGTGCACGGTCGTCACGAGTGTAACGAGCGTGGGATTTTGGGGTGGAGAGGACGCTGCCACGACTCCTCCTCCTTCGCTGGGGTGGGTGCCTGGCTTTGGCTGGAATTGCAGGCCACTTTGGGTGCTTGGAGGCAAATCCACACTCATATGATCTAATCCTCAGTCCTGCAATGGTAACAATGGGTGAAGGAATTTCATGGTTTTATGGCCACTTGAACTATTTGCAGTAGTTGATCTCTTCATTCCTAAGGGCATAGTCATAATTTGTGTGCCTTGACCTTTCGTACCACAGTTCTAGGGTTTTGATGTTGATCTAAGTCAAGTTTTCTTTGATTTTTTTATGGTTTTGGTCAAAAATTAACAAAAGTCAAAATTTTTGTCAAACTTGCTATGAATGTTCACATGTAGTCTTCCCACCTTTTTTTTTCTTTTTTTTTTTCTTTCCTACAACAATCTGGTACAGAGAAGTTGTCTTCATTGTTGTTAATATTTATAACATTAAAGCCTAAGTATTACTTTATTAAATTAGAGTAATTTATATTTAATTTCTAAAAACAAAACTTTAAAGATTTAATAGGTATTGTAATCTCTTTTCAAGTTTATTTGTAATTCTTGATTTCAATATAGTTTCTTGGCACTAAATAAATAATCTAGTATCACATGCAAATTTAATGCCAAATTTAGCTGTTTCCTTTTAGTTTTTTAAAACAAGCTAGCTGCTTGAGCAAGTTTAAATAGAAGCATCATATCACATAATGTCATGACAAAAACATTTGACAAGTAATAGTATTGACAATTGAGCACTTTACAAAAAAAAAATTAATAACTTCCAATACATTTCTGTTGACTCCAACTATAGAAATATTGAGATTTATTAGAAAAAGCCCACCCACCAAATTTTGATGTTCTACAGCTCTTTTCAGTCAGAAGTTCTGTAGATTTTTAAAAAAAATTAGGAACATGATTATTTTTTCAATGTCCTGTATACTATATATATACTTACAAAAATATTAATAACAATATTGGTAATGCCTACCTTCTTTAATCTAATAATCATTATTAACAATATTAACAGTATCAATCAAAGATATATAAATTATAATCTAAGTCTATAATTTTTAAAATAATTCAGAAAAGTAATAATTAATATTCAATAATCAATATCAATTATCAATATTCATTTCAATGAAGGAAATGTCAAAAAGGCATGATATGTATTCCATAATATTTTTAGATACTCTGGTTATAAAATTCACTGATATTTTACCAAAAGAAATAAAACTGATGTGTATACTATTGCTTACAAAAATTCAAGGAAAGCCCTACACTTTCAAAAATTACCTCAAATAAAAGCTACATATGAAGTATGAGTAAATCACATCAATATATGATTGCAAAATAAATAAATAAACTTGAAATCAATCATATGCACTTATAAAACATTTAATCTTTTTCTTTTAATTTGTATGTTCAAATTATTGAAGTAATATTTTATTATATATTACCAAAAAAAAAATAGACTCACAGTTTAGTTGTTATGTTCTCTAATTGAGTTATAGTTTTGATAAAATTATTATTATAAATATTTTTTCTAATTCCTTTCAAATGGTTATAAAAATTATTATAGAAAAGGCATAGTGCTACACTGTGTTGATATGTTTGAATGTATGTATCACACTTGAGAAGAAAAGGGGAATAATAGGAGAACAAACCATGATGACTTGTGTGGCATGAATGTTTTTCTTAATACACCAGTATGTTGATTAGCAAGCACATCATGAACATAATCCTGACTGGCAACCCACCAGCAATCAATATAGTGAAAAGAAGGTCCGCAAGTCTGGGTGGACACATTGGGGGGTGGCCACCAGTGGGGGCATGCCATGTAGACACAGGGGAGTGGGTCAGGTGCCATGCGGGCTGGAGGAAGTCCTCAGGTATGGAGGAGCCTGAGTGTGGAGGGCGTGTGCTGCTGCCTGCCCTCAATGTGGAAACCATCTGCCTTGCTCCCTCCCCTCCACACAGCCCCTTTCCTGACAGCCCATCCAGGCTAAAGCAAGGGCATTGAAAAAGGTGGGTTCCTCATTCCCATGGTAAAAATAATATAAAGTAATATAAAAACAAAATTTTCAAAATGTAATGGGCATTTGTGTCCCCCTTGAGACTGTGAATAGCTGGAATGTCATCACACATGGGACATGAGTGGGTGGGTCAATGCATGCTCACCTCCCATGACTGTATCTTATTGTTGGGAACTCAATGAAACTCCTGGGTTCTCAGCAGAATACAATTAACCCCCTTCTCAGAAGAGAACATCCTAGAAAGAAGGAATTTATTTGTTAGGAAAGGAAGTGGAGTTTCAGTTATTGAAAATAAAGTCCAAGTAGAGAAGGGGGGAGCACACATGAGAATTTTCATTGGGATGGAAGAGATTTAATAATAGTTTTTTTAATATATATATATATATATATATATATATATATATTAGTTATGTTTTCATTGTTTTGACTGAATCATGGGTAGGGTCGAACTTATTACCATGGGGGAAAGCCCAGCCCAGTTCCAGTCCAGGGAAGCCAGAGATGGGCCGGGGGAGGGAGGCCAGGGTGGTCGCTTCATCCGAGGCCACTCCCACTCCCCTTTCGGATCTTTCGGCGAAGACTGATGGGCTTTCGTGGTGTCTCGCTCGCCCCACTGCACATCATAAGCTACTTCAACTGTGCAGAGCTTTGTATCGCCGCACTGAGCCCCCCCCCCGAACCTAGAACCTGGAGTCTTCTCAGACTGCCAGATTCATGTAAAGACATTGCGTCTTATGATCGTGGCGTTGTGGAGGTAGCTTGATAGACAGACAGATAGATAGATAGATAAAATAGACAGTTAGTTAGGTAGTATAAATTGCAGTGTCAGGGAACTGGGTTCCAAGCTAGTGCAATGATGAAATGCATGTCAGAACTGATGGAGAAACTGCCGTGGATGGTGTGCAGGGTCAAATACTCTTTTGGCTTTCGATGTGTGTTTTCCGCTGGCGGCGGTTTGTGTCGAAGTGGTGACCTTAGTGGGTTGGACACATATGAATCAGGAGCATTTGGCCCATGCACAGTATCTACGCAAGTTCCTCGGTCTGGTTGGTGCAGTGGCGAGAGGCTCAAGCTTCGGCGACAGTGGAAACTGCAACGACCGGCGACTTCCGATTTTTTTTTTTTTTTTTTTTTTTTTTTTACCAGAATCTGCAAGCTCGCCTGGGAGTCCTGAGGGTTCCTGTACGCTACTTCGTGCGAACGTGGGAAGTGGGGAGAGCTGTGCAACCTGCTGTGCTGTCTCGTCAGAACTGCCGAGGTAGCACGGGGTGTTGTGCGAAGGCGTGCGGAGATTGCCCTTTCGATGACGGGGATCACCTCCTTGGTGTCAGTCTTTATCATTTTAACCGTTTTGTCCGTATAACGCAGCGTTTTGTGAGAGAAGTAATCCATGTCTGAAAACTTCGATTGTATCTCTTTAGTGTTGATAGCATGCTAGTCTTGTACGGGAATATTAGCTTTTTAGTGTTATGCAAATTACCGCCTGGCAACCCCTGATTGTTTAAACCTAATTCGAACGTCCAGGACACACATAATTTCGAAGCGATTCAGGATCAGTTGTTCAACGAACTAACCTTTGTCGGTGCTGCAAGTCGCACAATTCCCATGGTTTTGGGAGATCAAGTTTTGCTGCAAATAGTATCGAACAATACCTAACTTTGTCGGTTATCTCACACTCCATGAAACGCTGAGGGCCTTGGTATTTGTGCTCCTCAGACACCTTGCAGAAGGAGAGTGAAGATTGCTGCAACTGCTTCGCATGCTACTTTACGATTCAGCGGCGTCGAAGGACCAACAAGAACCCCTACCTGTAGCTAAAAAGTACTGCCGACAGCTTTGCATGACGTAACTCAGCACTCCATGGTCAGAATTAAGGCCCTATTACTGGCATCCTGTCACCCACTTACTAGCCAATTAGCTAGAGAGGGATAGAGAGAGAGAGTTCGCAAGATCAGAGCATGCGGGTGAATGGGAATTGACCTAATTCGGATACGAAGGTAGTCAATGCTTGTGTTGCATTGCGCACTTATATCGCTCCTTCCTCTACCATTGCCAGAACACTGGTGTTTAACCACAGCAATGGTGCTGTACAAAACACTTCAATTAGCGTGAGATGGGATATGCAGCTGGTTAGCTATGATTCTGGACAAGTTAAAAAATGAATGAATTTACACATAATGTCCGAAAATGCGCTAAAACTTTCGTACTTTCAGAATTTTGAATAGATAGTAAAATAGTTAAAGGTATAACACCCATAAAATCGAAGAATAAAAATGATAGGTCAGTGTTGTTTGTCGTTGACTTCACATATTATAATTAAAATAGTCGTCAATATTACAATGCAACTTGATCATGAATCATGAAGATCTGTTAAGTATTTCCTTTCGTCCCTTGTGGGTCTAACGGCTTGTATTCCTCTTCCGACGTTTAAAAATTGGCCACTGAAATGGCCGATGTGATGCTCGCATATAATGATTCGGAAATGAATCAATGGCAACGTGTGCATGTATCAGTAACAATGTAGGCGTCCTCACCATTTTCCCTTCCCGTCCCTCGTGACACTGCAAATATGATGGGAGTCAACTGCAGCTGCATCTTTGAACCAACACCTTAATGGAAGTGCAAAAGGATTTGTCAGTGAAGCCCACTCTGGGGTAGCTGTCATTCTGAGCCGTTCCCGCATGCATCTTGGTTGCTGGGCAATATAATCTGGATGATTCGCACTCAAAAATCTACTTGTAATGAAAGTTGATGGTTTAACTAATCTAAATCCTGCTTCTATGATATCGTGAATATGTTCGTCTCTGTGTACAATAAAGGTCACTACCAGTCAATTTATCCTGCTTCTATAATTCATGTTCGTCTCTGTGTACGAAACTGGGTTTTGTTGTGCTTCAAAGTAGTGATCAGCAGCATACATTGACTAGTAATGACCTTTTCATTATGACGACAAGCACCACTTTGATATCATAGAGATGCAAGATAACTGAAATCATGGACGCCTTGTGGTCACAACTTAGAGATACCAAGCAGGGAGGGACGGCAACTAGCCCCAGGCAATTCCATGACATTTCATCTACCAGCAGAAAGTCAATCCCGCTTCGGCACTGACACACTTTAATGGCCCTCGGCACATGTAGATTAAGTTATTCCAACTAGAGTTTTGATATGTAAATGCTCTAGTCATGTACATCTGTTAATTGAAGAAGTGAAATTGCTTCATGCAACTGATAAGCGATACCTTCTGTTAAAATCCACAATCTGTCATCAAAATACCATGTTACAAAAAAAATCCCTCACACCCAACGTAGATATATAGATCTGTTATGACTTTGTTGTGTCAAAAGTTTCACTTGTTGCTTACTCTGTGCAATAGAATATGGATAGTTTCGCATATCAATAAATGTGCCACACGGACATTCAATGCATCCGAATGATATGATACATATATAAGTATCCAGCAATTCGGAAGGATTTACGTTATCCAATCGTCAGCCATCCTCGGTGTCCAGCATGTACAAATCCCAATAGACACTCATATTGACCTGAAAGATACTCGTCCCACGTCATCATGGTTGTGAACTCCATTATACATGTACAGCGTATCATGTGTCGATGAAAACACAACCAATTAGGCTGTTTAATTGTGGGCATCTTTGTATTGTGTAATACCACAGAGCATCTGATCTGCATAACCAACCTCGCTATTCAAAGAGGGAAGAGTTGTATACTCCATAATCTGCACTCCTCCAAGGAATATCACTCAGGACTCGGGAGTCAGCGCACGACTCGGAATTTCAGGAAATGGAATGGAATTACAGCTACGGTAGTACCCATTTGTATCATAAACAAAACGTTGCGACAAGTGGACTTCTGAAATATGATACTCTCCCCATTGATGCTCTTTATATTTTTCCATGATTTCCGTTGCATCAAATGGAATTCTTTTCTTGTACCTCTTACCCGACTCTCTGCACAAAAGAAAATATGGCACTGTTTAATTACGTGAACCATGTAATAGCTGTAGTCATTCCTGTAGGATACGAGTCTAACCTGCTTCTACTGTGAATGGGATGAGAAATAGATCCACAATTTCTTTTGATTTTAAACAGAAAAGAACCAAAGAATCTCTGCAACTTTTAAAGATGAATTTGCTCAGACTTTGACACTTCATGTAGTGGAATAAGAAATGCTCATACCCCCCTGCTCGCTGTGTTGTGTTCATCAATGTTGCGTGTAGCTGCCAAAGAGCCCATCAAAAGCATGACCGTACTGTGTAAAACAAGTGCAAAATATGCCACTAAAACAATCCGGTGTAAAGATAGGTTCCACTTCCTTACCACCGGATCTCATACGCTCTGTTTCATAGCAAGGTAAAAGCCGTTTAAAGTGTCTGGTTTTCTTCTACGTTAAAAAGTGACAAAAGCAAAAATTCGAGCGAAAAGGTATGAAGACACAACCTTACCTTCAAAGTCTGTGTCTGATCTTTGTCCATTACAAGACCTGCTTCGGTAAAAGCCTCAGTAATCACCTCTGGTGCATGTTAAGATAATTTCATTTCTAAGTGGATGTTAAAATTCTTATCAACAAACAACAGATTCATAAATGAAGTTGTGCTCAGGCGTTTCGAGAGGGAAAAATGAAAGCATTTCATAGTAAAGATACGACTTGCTTTAATGAGGCGTCCTGCCTGGTCATTAGGTTCGACGTCAGCATAAAGCACATGGGCTTTTGCAGGATTTCCTTTCATGCAATCCTGTCATTCCACACGTAACACCCGTTACTAACGTGAAAATTCTGCTATACTAATGAAGTAATCAACCCCATCACAAGAACAATGCAATCAAACAGAACTTCCAAGTTGTCACACTAGTTTCTAAACTATGCGTGGGGTTGTAACTTAGTCGTCTTTTAAAATGATTGTTGTACACAACACAAAGAATGTGAAGCAAGGGCAAAGTAAGATACCACGCCGCGAAGTGTGATTGTCAGCGGAGAACCTTCTAGAGCCTCATGAACTCGAGGCGTTACTTTCTGCGAATGCCATCCATATCCATCAAAGTCAACATGAAAGTCACAGACAGGTTACAAACAAGCCAATACACATTTTCAAACAATGGTCGCAGTACAACAATTCATAGGAATTCGAAATATTAAGTTCACAGCATTAATCTACTAGCAAAAAGCAAAAAGTAGCTGGGGGAAGAGCATACTTGCAAGCAATCAGCAGCATTTTGCACTAGCTCTTCGTTCCACAGTTTTAACATGAGGAGTGTCAAATGAAACGTTGTATGTTTCACAAATATAGACTTGTCAATACCTTTGTTGCTCATTCCAGACTCTGTATTATGATTAGGTAGCTAGCATTAGACAACAAGGACCAAGGATACACAATTTAAAGGCCAATTGCAACAGATCATCTTTCACTTCTGAAATAAAGCAAAGCATAACCATCTATATCACGGAAGACTAGTTGATTGATCTTACCATCATCAAATTCCAGCACAGTCTTCTGAAAAGCTTTCACAGACTCTAGTAGTTGTGGGTGCAGTGCTAATGGAATGGAAACAAAGTGCGAGTACTGAAATTGTGGGCTTTTGATGGCCTGAAAGTGCAACATTCGCATGAGAACTTCGAAGATGATCTTTGACTCTAAGTAGCCTCAGATAGGAATGGGCGAAGCTGAATACTGAGAAAACAAAGTACGCAATAACCTTCTGTCTAGAATGCAACATAATTTGAAAGTCAGGAGAGTTTAAAAATGTGTTCATCAATAACCAACACTTTGAGGCAGAGAGCAGTTCACCTGGTTGATAATTGTGTTCACCTGGTGCATTGCATTGTCCAAAGCCTCTTGTGACTCACCTTGAATCACTGCACATGATGTAGCCGGGTAAGCTTTCTATCCTACGAATGGTTTACATATCCAGCCTTGGGTAACGAAAGGAATACACGCGTGACCATACCTAAATATTTGCCTTGTTTAGCTTCCTTAGGTGATGGGATCTGTAAACTCACATCTGTGTCCTTCTCTAACATCTGTTTTGTGATTCCTCTGCAACCACATCCATCTTTCCGTAAAAATGACTACCATTACTGAAGTGCCTTGACAAACGACAAACGTCAAAATCTTTCTTGGCAGAAATTGCCCATGACTCTCCAATTCAATTAAGATTTATAGAATATGTTAAACCCTCAAAGCGAAACAAATAAGAACAGATGAACATAAAGTAGTGACATTGTACCCCTTCCCAACCAGAAATCGGAAAAAACAAGCATCCACCTACACACAGAAACGCAGAGTTGTGGTTCAGTACACACACACATGCACACACATTGAAGGTTTTTAATGAACGCTAATAGTGTAGTGTTGCTGAAATGCAGAGCTCAGACAGAAAAAAAATTGGATTGCACGACGTTGGAGAGGCAACAAAAGTATGAAACGCTATAGAAAACTGGATGTTCATTTTAACATCTGAAAATGAGCCATGCACATTGTATCTTCACTATATTCTGAAGCCTAAAGAAGTGGACATTGTGGTGAGACTTACAAACATTGACGCTGATAGTAATCCAGCCTCATCTGATTGCCCCCCAACAGAGTTTTCACGCTGTACCATTGGGAGATTTTCAACCTTTTCCGGAGGACTGGCTTCTGCCATAGAGGTTGTACCAAAATATCGAACGTCTCGTTTCTGTTTACTCTTCCATAAGGTGGCCAAACGACTTTTCAGGGCCAGACCTTCCTTAGCATAGAAGCTTTGAGCATCAAACCGCCAAACATTCGAACCCTGAGAGAAGAAACCGAAAAATTGGATGCTTTCACTACACAATATGGATCAAAGGGTATGCAGATGTTAAAGACAATTGTAATTTAAACATCTCAGGGATTGCTAGGGTATACTTTGAAACATTGCTGACGACTCAACGCCAACTGTTGGTTTATGTGGGCACTTGCGGCAAGCCTTGAAGACCATACACAGTCAGACTTCACTTGAACTTCTAAAAAAATGAATTGAATGCAACTGAAGAAGAATCCTAGAGCACATTCACGCTTCCGCTCGATAGGGTGACTCCTTCCAACTCCCTAAACCCTGTACCCAACTCAAAACCTGTCTCATGTCTTCCAGATTTTGAAGCCACTTATCACCGATACAAAAGCAAACTTAACCCCCACAGATATAGCTCTTCAAGACCTATCTCCACCCCAACCTACCAAAAGCAATCCCCAAAGCCTAATCACGAAATCTCACCGCCTCCCCGAAAACTCTTCGCATAAACTTCAACCCTACACACAACAGTGCTCTCGCTCACCTGGAAAAGATGGAATATTTGGCCAACATCTCGGACCATGGCACAACGTTCATGACGCGAAGCAACAAGTGGCAGGAGCTGAGCCGACAGAAATAATTACGAGTGGCACAACTCGAATTATTTTTCCAAAGAGAGGCCAGTTCTCCTCCTCTTTAAACATTCTCGTCTTCGATTTGCCTCGCTTCACTTCGCGTGGTCCAGTTCTCCTCCTCAATTTGCCTCGCTTCTATTTGCGTGGTCCAGCAAGCGGAAGGTCACCAGCCGAAGATCGGACAACTCGGGACGAATTGGCTGTTGCTGTTGGAACAGTGTTCTCTACAGCCAAGGATAACCTTGGTGCTATTGCAAGTTATTCTATCCTTGCCTCTGCACCTTACCAGTTTGGCACCAACAAACCCGCAAATGGCAGGTGCCTGTTTTGCTAAAACATAATAATTATTATTATAATTTGTATATTAATATTAATATTTTCTACTCTAAATTAATGTGTATCATCTAATCTCCATAAATATTAAATCTCTAAATTTAATATGGTCCAAAAATTTATAGATGACTTTTAAAACACACATCTTTCTAATTTTGTATTGAATCATTTTTGGTATAATTTTTCTAATGCTAGTTACTTATATTTATGATTTTTACCTTTCTTTAAATACTTCAAAAAATTCTCTAAAAATATTATTATAAAATTATCTAAATATTTTCCACAAATATCATTTATTATGTGTTGAAAAGTAGCACGGGCATTAACAAGACCAAATGACATAACATAAATTCAAAATGATCATGTTTGATTTAAAAAGTCATTGTATATTGATTTATTTTTTGATACATATAAGATTGTGAGCTTTTTATAGATTAATATTGGTGAAGGTGTAGGCTCTCTAAAGTTGTTCCAAAATTCCTAAAATTAACAAAAGAGATAGGAATTATTTTTATTAATATTGTGAAGACTGTAATAATGTATATAAATGATTAGAGAACCATCTTTTTTTCTATGTAAACAATTTTGGTGTTCTACCAAGATATTTAGAATGTTGTAAAAATCATCTGGCTAAATTCTTATTAATATACTCTTGCAAAGTTACCAATTTAGTTTGTAAAAGATTATAAATTGGTCTATGTTGAAGATAGATGTTTTCTAATAATTCAAATCTACAATCATTATATTAATTTTTTTGGTAACATATTTAATATTTTTTTATCAAATATATTCTTAAAACATTGATATTAAAGAAGAATGTATTGCATAGTTGATTTTTGCATGAAATTATTGATATTGTGTAAAGCAAAAATGTCATATTATGCTTGTATAAAAGCTCTTGCTCTAATAAATTAAAATCAAGGTAGTTTACTTGCTTTTAGATTAAATCTTAAAATGGCCTTTTTAATTTTCAATCAATATTAAGATTATGTAATTCAAATAAGAATTGCTAAGCACTAATAGATTTAAAAGACATTAAATGATCATTAAATTAATATTTGATATTTAATCTTGTAATGATATTTCTAATAGCTAAATCTTTTTAATATCTTAAGCAAATAAAATTTATTTATAATTTTAAAGTTACAATTTAGAATTTTATAATTACAAGATTTTTATTACAAATAGATATTTTTGTTTAATACATATATATATATATATATATATATATAAATTATGATTTTTTCTACTAGTTCTCTATCTATTTAAATTGATGCTATGATTCTTTGATTTATGACTAATTTTTTCATAATAAAAGACAATTTTTTAAACTTATTTCATTATTTTTTTTAATTGATTCATTAAATTGAGTTTTTTTTGACTTGATGAATAATTTTTTCTACTCCTAAAAGTTGTTACTGCTTGTTATTATCTTCTTCAACTAAATCTTTGTTCTTAATACTTTTGAAAGAGTTGATTGTTGCAAGTAGTTATTTAAATAATTTTATTTTGTTGAACAGAATATTTACACTGTCCATACTTGCTGAAATATTATGAATACCCCCATAATCTTAATATTAGTACACATATTCCTCACGTTTGTACTAATATCCAATCTACTCATGATTCTAATAAGTTATCATAACATCTCCGTTTTTAGGTTGAAATGGGGCTCAATCCTTGTGTTACGCGGCGCTTTCTACTCTTTTCGGCCGTTTCTGCACCTGCCTCCTAATAATCAAGTTGCGGCGCACATTCCCTGCCGCAGTCCTCGCTGCTACCACCACCATGCTTGCCCAGCCAATCGATGCGATCACCGTTGTACCTCCGTTTCATTGATAGATTTGGATGCTGGCTCCAAGAAAGACTGTTTGGGTGGAGATGGTGCGTCCATGTTGAGTGAAGCGCTTGAAGCAATTGCAACTCTGAGTGGATGTGGAGGAACAGATTTTTCTTCTTCTTTCACAGGGAGAGGAGGAGCGGCTTATTTTTTGGGAGCATTTGACGAAGCTCCAACCTCTCCAATGGCTACCAGTGCGAGTTGTGTTTCGGCTTTCACTGTGTCACTTTCTTTACATAGAATCTCCATTTATCATTAGGAGTTTGAATTGACGTGGTGAATACAAATTTGCAACTTTAAATAAAATCTTGATATGAGAAGGTCGTCACAGGAGAAATACTTTAAAACTTGACTAGGCAGCCGTCATTGACCTTGCAATTGACCACTTGTATCTTACAAATAATTCATTGTTTTAACTTTTTTGCCAAGTAGCCCTATATTTTGTGAATGCGGAGACGAGGTACAATACCTCTTCAAACTTTCCAGCAACATATACGCACATCAATTGTAACCTGAAAATTACAACATCAAGCAGTAGATTAGTTTTCAATTGATGAGATAGAGGTTAGCTACAGGTGGGATCGAGGGTCCCGTTAAACAGCCAATACTCGATTCAAACAGTTGCTAATCAAACTCAGCTTGGAACACCAAAAAGCTCTTCCCAAGAAAAGCTTCACCAAGACAAGAGTAGAAAGGCTATATAACCTTGTCAGTTTCAATCTGAGCAATGATCTCATCCACAACACCTTTGATATTTGGGATATAAGATATCAGAACGTAAATTAAGTGTACATGTGAATTTCTCAACAGACTAACCAGCGAGCCTTTGCGCCTCACCACGGTGAGATGCAATCTGTTTAATTTTTAATTTTTTAATTTTGTATATTTGCATTTAAACATTCTTTTGACTATTTCTATATCCTCCATGTTGATGTGATGTTGTTTTGGATAGCCAAATAGACCTCTTGTTAGGGGTAGTAGGATTGGAGCAATATCAATTTTATTGTTGCTTGGTTCTATCTAATATTCAATGGATGATATCAAGGTGATGGATACAATATAAATTGCTTGTTGGGCTTGAACAATGTAAAAATAAGAAATATGATGGAGAATTGATTGTGGCATGAGAATAGAATGTTAATTGCATAGACACATGGAACTATAAATAAGTGCCACCAATTACAAGTATTTGTGTGGTTTTGTAAATCCAAGACATTTGATGATTGCTTTGACAAATAATTAAAGATAATATCAAATAGGCACATTGATGCAATAGGCACATTGTCATATTATAATACAACCATTAGATAAGCAAAGAAACAAATAACTATATTATAAAGGAACTTAAATGAAAATATTTTATCAAATTATTTAATAAATATAGATATTAGAGAAGGAAATAGTAAAAATTAATAAGTATTAATATTGCCTTCTTATAATAGAAAATTCTATTTGCTTTATAAGATCATAAATAAAATAATATAAAATAGATTAAGAAAATAAATCATATAAACATCTTTATGAAGGTGTTAAAAATAGTTTTTAGCAAAAATTAACTTAGAATATTAAGAATTGATACCCAAAAATGATTAGTTGTGAAACTAAGTCAAAATCAAATCCCAAGTTACAAAACTACATATCTACAATAATTCTAGGATTCTATGGTTGATTAAAGATTTGGATTTAAAAACAAATTAGTGAAATATTTTTCAAAGATTGATTTTATATAATTCAAACAAATATTGAGTTTTTGAAGGATTTTTAAAAGTATTCTCATTGGTTTTGGATTTTCATTGGTTTTGGATTTTCATTGGTATTCTCATTGCTTTTGGATTTTGAGAAATGAAAAGAAATTAATAATTTTGAGTATTTAATGATTGTTGTGGTACATTTAAGGGTGAAATTTTGTGAATTTGTCATAGCACTTTCTTTTAATTTTTTTGAAAAATTTAATACCAATTAAATGGTTAGATTAAAGGATACAAGAGTTTTATTAAATAAAAATTTTAGATATTTGAAATTTAGGATTAGTGAGGGTTTTTATGAGCCTAAAAATCTACTAATTTGATTGAAGCAAAAATTAGTGATTGCAATCTAGACTTAAAAATATATATATACTAGCCAATTTTTGAAGTAATTGAACAGTTCAACTAGGAGAAATTATTGTTGAAAGATAAATATCTAGATTGAAGAAGAAGAACATTCAATATTTGAGAGGTTTAGGAATTATTTCTTTTGATTGATGAGTTCAATTTTTTTCAAATTTTGCATGCTTATTAATTGCTTGTGGATTGAAATGCGGGTGAAATTTGAGTTAAGATCAAAAATTTAATTAGTATTTATTGAGAGTTTAAAACAACTATAGAAATTGCTTAGAATTTATTTTGAATTTTTTTGTTTTGTTTAGAATTTATTTAAGATTTATTTAGGATTTAATTAAGATTTGATTAAGATTTGATTAGGATTTAGGATTTATTTAGAATTTAATTAGAATTTAGTTAAATTTCATTAAAATTTTATTAAATCTTGGTTAAGATTTCATTAAGATTTCAATAAGATTTAGTTAGGATTTAGAATTTGATTAGGATTTGATTAGGATTTGATTAAAATTGGTTTAATTTTTCATTGAAATTTGTTTAAGATTTGATTAGGGTTCATTTAAGGTTTTTATTATAGATATATATATATTTTTATATTTATTTTAAATTTTTTTATTATGTATATTTCTTTATTTTTTTTATAATTTATTTACTATTTATTTTAAATTTTATTAAATATTGATTAACATTGTTAAGATTTAATTAAATTTTGTTTAGGATTCTATTAGAATTATAAGGACTTTCTTATTACAAATTTTATTTTATCTTTTGCAGCTAGGTATCCAGTGTATTTTCAAGTAAGCTTCATGGAATACAATAATATGCAAATATTTGTGACCATTTGATTTATTAATTTGCAATAGCTCACAATAATCCAATAATTTTATTAATAATGATACATTTTTTATTATACCATGCCATGAATTGCTACTAAATTATTTTTA